TGATTGCTTATTTATTCAATTTCAAACAGAAGAAGTTGGTAAAATTCTTTAATTTCATTGTCATGGACTTTATTGGTTGGTATTTAAATTTCAATAATAGTGATATAAGCTGGTCTTCCTTGTTGCTGTTGTTTTTAAGTGTCTTTGAGTCAGTTCTGCCCCATAGTGATCCTGTATAATTTGTATGAGGAGCAGCTGGTGAGCTTGAACCTCTGACCTGTGGTTCAAACTGACTTTCAGTCTAATACATTAACCCACAGGGCAATACCAGGACTCTCAGGTCTTCCTTGTAGGTATATGGATATTGCCCTATCACAGAGAGTGTTTTACATTGAGAATTAACTTGGGAAAAAATTTTTGAACAATGGATGTGATGCCATTCCTCTTCAAACTAACAATTACAAAATAGTAAACCATTTGTTGTTATTGTTGTTAAGTGCCATCGAGTTGGTACTGACTCATAGCGACCCTATTTACAGCAGAACTAAACACTGCCCGATCCAGGGCCAACCACACTATTGTTGCCACATTTGAGCCCATTGATGCTGCCACTTTACCAATCCATCTCACTGGGGGTCTTCCTCTTTTTCTCTGACTCTCCATCCTACCAAACATGATATCTTTCCCCAGCGACTGATCCCTCCTGACAATATGTCCAAAGTATGAGAGACAAAGTTTGGCCATCCTGTCCTCCAAGGAGCACTCTAATGCACTTCATCCAACACAGATCTGTTGGTTCTTTTGGCAGCCCATGGCACTTTCAATATTCTCCCCCGACTCTGGTAGCGTAGTGGTTATGAACTGGGCTGTGAACCTCAAGGTCAGCAATTCAAAACTATCAGGCTATTCCATAGGAGAAAGATGAGGCTTTCTACTCCCATAAAAATATACAGCCTTGGAAACCCTGTACAGCGTTGTTATGAGTCGGAACCCACTCCACTGCACATAGTAAACCATAGAATTGTCAAATTAAAAATGGGCAACACCAGTCCATCTCAGGAAACTAATACCTAGGATATAGAACTTTATGTGTTCCATTTCATTTTTGACAAGGTCCAATTTTCCAAGATTCATACGACATACGTTCCATGTTCCAGTTATTAATGGATGCCTATAGCTGCTTCTTCTCATTTTGATTTGTACTTCATTAGCAAATGAAGTTCCTGAAAGCTTTGTACACTTCATACCATTATGGTCAACCGTACTTTGAGGAGGCAACCATTCTTCCATCATATTTTGAGAGTCTTCCAAGCTGAATAGCTCATCTTTTGTCACTTTACCTAACAATATTCTACTGTTATTCATAATATTTTTATCTTTCTGGCACTATCTCTGGCAATATTCCACTGCTATTCACAGGGTTTTCAATGAGTAAACATTCAGAAATAGTGCACCTCTCATTCTTTCTAGATTGTTGCAGTTTAGAAATCTCCTGAAACCTCTCCACTATGGAGACCATGCTGGTATTTACAATATCAATGACATAGTTTCCAGCACAATAGCAGCATGCAAGCCACTACATAACTGTAAACAGACAGCTGAGCAGTGGCAGACTGAGCTTGCATATTAATTTAAAATACTAACATACAGATGTTGACTCACCATGCCTAGCCCCCAAAATTTCTCAATAGAATTATGAGTCTAATGAGTAAAGAATAAGATCATACTTAACATGAATAGTCTTATATAAGGATTGTTGTTGTTGTTGTTGTTAAGTGCTTTTGAGTCTTTTCTGACTCATAGTGACCCTGTATAGACTTTCCAAGGAGCAGTTGGTGAGTTTGAATTACCCAGAGGCTAAATTGTATGCAAATTTGAATCTTTGCCTGGGGCTCACTTTGGGAATAGTTGATACAGTACAGCTAGTATTCATTAAACTGTAACTTCCCTTAATCCTCTAATAAAGTAGGAATCCTTCTATCAGAAGCCATGGTAGCATAGTGGTTTCATGTTGGGTTTCTAACCAAATGGGCAGCAGTTCAAATCTACTAGCAGCTATATAGGACACAAATGAGGTGTCCAGCTCCTATAAAGACTTACTTTCTCAGAAACCCGATAGAGACATATTCCAGAGTTTCCGAATATCTGTATATTTAAGTTTCCATAAATTTTAGAAAACAGAAGCAGTACACATTTATTGAAGATCAATTACTAGATTTCAATTAGTTTAAGTCACACTAAAACATTTATTGTATGCTGTTCTAGTTTCCTCATGTTCAGACATAAAGGAACTATAGTAGTGCTTTTAATAAAAGTGAAATATTCATTTTAGTGAATTTCCATTTTCATATCTACATATTAATAAAGTCTTTCCAATGTTTAGTGAATTATACATACCTTTCATATTCAAGAAAAAAAAATATATAATCTCACTGAAAAAGAGAAACGCTAACTTAGTATGATACAATTTTTTGTTGAACTTCAATTTTTTTTATGGTCTTCTACCACTTCAGACCCTGCCATCATTATTTAAATAACATTTTTCGTGAATGACAAATGACTGATGAATACACAGATATCTCTAGCATAAGGGCTGATGCAGAAATCTCATCTACATTTTCACAGAGCAGATTCTGATAATAACTCTTCTCAGAGCCCCCATCACCTCCTTGTTCCTCAAACTATAGATGACAGGGTTGAGCATAGGGGTGAGGATGGTGTAGAAAACAGCCAGAACTTTGTCTTCTGTTGGTGATCTGAAGGATCTTGGGCGTAGATAAGTGTAAGCAAAAGGTGCATAGTAGAAAGTCACCACAGTGAGGTGGGTACTGCAGGTTGAATAGGCCTTCTTCCTCCCTTCTGAAGAGGGCATGCGGTAGACAGTAAGAAGAACACGTCCGTAGGAACAAGTAATTCCAATGAAGGGAAATACAAGGAACAAAGTGGTGCTAAAAAATACTGTGTACTCATAGAGCCAGGTGTCCATGCAAGCTAGAGTCAGCATGGCTGGAACATCGCAGAAGAAATGATTTATGGTTCTGGATTGGCAATAGGGAATATGAAGTACATATGCAGTATGAGCACAAGAGTTGATGGACCCAATTATCCAAGATCCTATTATCATCTGAACACACACTTTTTTGCTCATAAGAATGGGATAGTGGAGAGGAAAGCAAATGGCCACATAGCGGTCATAGGCCATAGATGTCAAGAGAAGTGCTTCTGCAACTGCCAAAGTCAAGAAGAAGAAACTCTGGATTCCACATCCAATAAAGGAGATTGACTTGTTTCCAAAGAGGAAGTTGAAAGCCATTTTGGGGACAATGGTGGAGATATAATTCAGGTCCATGAGAGAAAGCTGACTAAGAAGAAAATACATCGGTGTGTGGAGATGTCTGTCTATTAGAATGAGGAGGATCATGGAAAAGTTGCCAAACAGAGCCATTAGGAAAATGAGAATGATGAGAATGAAGAGGAACAAACCAATTCTTGATGGAGGGAATAACCCTAATAAAATGAAATCAGTTGAGGTTTTATTATAATTCTCCATTGAATAATCATTAGTTTTCCCTAAAATAGGAGACAAGAGAGTGAAAGGTAAATTTTAAAAAATAAAGTGTTTTTATTTATAAAATATGTGATTGATCTAACTATGGACTTCTCAAGGAATTTACACAGTTGCTTTAACAAATGACCAATACTGCCTCTTACTTTTAGCAACAAGTATCATTAAATTATGCAGAAATAAAGTGAAAAGCATGCATTTGCATACAAAACAATGATATAGAATCCATTAAAACAATCAAACAAACAAATACCCATACCTATTTTAGTAGAATAATAATGATTATTCTTCAAAAATTCCCCTATCAGAAAGAACAAAATTTATATTAAGTGTTAGCAGAGTCCACCATTCCTTTGTCAGTTTGTTGTACTGTGGTGGCTTGTGAGTTGCTCTGATTCTGAAAGCTATGCCATCCATGGTGGATAGGTTTCAGATAAGTTTCCAGACAAACACAAACTAGGATGAAGGAGTGACAAACTACTTCCAAATATTTATTCACTGAAAACTTTATGAATAGCAGAGAAACACTGTCAGATATAGTAACGGAAAATGAGCCCCTGAGGTTGGAAGGCACTCAAATGTGACTGGGGAAGAGCTGCTTGCTCAAAATAGAGTTGACCATGATGATGTGAATGAAGTAAAGCCCATGGGAAAAAATCCCGTGGGACCTTGATTTGCTGATGGGGCACAACTCATGAAGAGAAACTTCTGTAAACAACCATCAAAAATTGGAAAATGGAATGTATGAAATATGAATCTGGGAAAATTGGAAGTTGTCAGAAATGAAGTGGAACGCATAAACATCGATATCTTAGGAATTAGTGAGCTGAAATGTACTGGTATTGGTCATTTTAAATCTGATGACCACATGGATTACTGTGCCACAAATGACAAATTGAAGAGGAATGGTGTTGGATTCATTGTCAAAAAGAAAATATCTACATCAGTTATGAGGTACAATGCTGTCTGTGATAGGATAATATCCATGCACCTACAGGGAAGCCCAGTTAATACCACTGTTATTCAAATTTACACACCGACAACTAAAGCCAGTGAGGATGAAATAGAAGAATTCTACCAACTTCTTCAATCTGAAATTGATCAAACATACAATCAAGGTGTATTAATCACTCCTGGTGATTGGAATGCAAAGATTGGGAGCAAAAGGAAGGATCAGTAGTTGGAAATATGGCCTTGGTGATAGAAATGATGCTGGAGAATGCATGATAGAATTCTGCAAAATCAATGATTTGTTCATTTCAAATG